TTGCCGAATTGTCGGCCATATTGGCGCGCAGTCCTCAGCAGGAAGAGCAGCTGAAGACGCTCATTTTGGAGCGTGACTTTGAGCGGCGCGCCCAGGAGCTGCAGGAACAGGAGGAGGACCAGGATCAGCCCTACGACAAGGACAACGTGCAGGAGCTGTTCCGTTTGTCATCGAGTGGTGTACAGGTCAGTGCCATACAAACACCAATAACCAGCTACCGCCAGACGGAGATTAAGCTGGCCGAGATCAACGAGAGCAGTTCCGTCGAGCCTGCGGCGCCATCACCAGCAGCGACAGCAACAGCAACAGCAGCTGGAACACCAACAGCAGCTGGAACACAGCAGCCGAAGAGCATACTGAAGCATAATCGTTACTCTGAGGGAGGCTCTGGTAGCAGTTCGGCTGGTGCGCCCTCCTCGCCCTCCAAGTCGCAGAAGTCGGCTAGCTTTGCAGACGAACGGCATCTGCAAACGGAGCATCCCATATCCAGTCTGGCCAAGGAGCTGACACAGCTCACCATGCTCGACAAGGACAACAACAATGAGACGGCCGCCGTGGATGGCTCGGTGCCGCCGCCGCCGCCGCCGGAACGCAATAGCTCCTATCTGATAATGTCACAGCAAAAGATGCGGACGAGTGTTGGCGGCAGCTCCAGCTCCAGCTCAATGGGACTGCTTAAGACGGCCACCAGCAATCAGGCAGCCGCTGTGGAGGTCAAAAAGGCGGCAATGCACGGCGCCACAAACAACAACAACAACAACAACTTGAGTGGCAGCCTCAACAACAATACGATGCAAGCCTCGCCGCTGAGTGCGATGGAGCTGAATGCCGCCTATGTGTCGGCCACGGGCACGGGGATGAGCATGGGCACACCGCCGCCGCCGCTGCTGCAGCGAGACAACAAGCGGGTAAGCTTCCATGATGAGGACAATAACTTGTTAGGCATCCAGCAACAGCAGCAGCAGCAGCAGCTGCAGCAGCAACAATATCTGCTCGACAGCTACGCGCTGGAACATCAGGATTTGGACACCATACGCGAGGATGCGAGTGTGAGTTACTTTAAGCAAAAGATACCTAGAATTGTTCCAGCTACTGACACACACATTTTCTTATTCTCTCGTCGCAGTATATACAGCACAATATGGATGCCTCGATGTTGCCCTCAATGCCGGCCACGCCGGATGCGGCGCTCTGGAACACCAGCGTGCAATCAACGCCTGGCGTCATTGGCGCCCAGGAGGTGTACAGGTAAGTGATACGATAGCCATATTTTCCGCGTATGTAAGCTAATGATTTGTATAATATATTTGCAGAGATCCGAGAACACGTCGCCTGGCGGAAAAGCAGCAACAGCAGCAGCAGCAGCGCGCTGGAGATGCGGTGCCAGAGAAACTGTCTTTCAAGGAGAAAATGAAGATGTTTGCCCTGGAATCGGGCGAGGATAATACGCCCAAGGATAAGCTGAAAATATCGCGAGCGCAAAGAGACATCGATGCAGTGCACTGAGGATCAGCTGACGTTAATGTCCAATTCCAAATTTCCAAAAGTAGAAACAGAAACAGAAACACCTAATCACCGAATCACCTAATCAGGAGTACGAATTGGGGGCCAAGTTGTTACGTTAAATAGCTATACATATATATCAAATATAATATATATATTTATCATACATAGCAGACACATGACAAACCTAACGAATTTGCTTAGCAAGGCAATAAACAATCCATAGTTATTGCGTTAATCCGATCTAAAGATCGCATAGTTGCGTAGTATGTGTAGCTAAACGAGTTAATTGATTACAGACAAAACGTTAACTGAATTCAATTAGTGACAAGCGAAATTAGCATATTCTATCAATAGTCTATACATAAATATATATATATTTAATTTTATAAAGCCTGGAGACGGGGCAACGGAAGTTGGGCGAGCCACATTTGTAAAGCGTTTTAAACATAATTCTTTACCCAATCCGAATAAGTATATGCCTATGCATATATGTTTATGTTTATGTGCACATATATTTGATATATATACATATATATATATATATTTGAGAAACTGTTGCATCAGATTAAAATATTTAGTATTTACCTTATCGATAATATGTAAATGATGTGGGTTAGCTTAGAGATATTTACCTGGGAATTGTGCGGAACAAGAAGAAATGTTTATTATTATTATAAATATAATAGGAAATGATAAGCCACGACGTCAAAAATAACAAATGGTCCAATTATTCAATTATTATTAAAGAGTATAAAAACAAAATGTATATTTACAAACATACAAAAGATTCGATATATATACATATATATTTTTAATTAAAACATTTTCGTACACCTTTTAAAAGCAACAAACAAAGAAACTAAGAAACAAAAACCTTATGCATAGACGAAATGTACCAATTTAAATCAAATAGGATTTCACTACACAAGAACCTAATGGCTTTAAAACAAAATATATACAACTATATTTGTTATAGCATACAAATTATTTGACAAAAAAAAAAAAAAAATAATAATAATAATACACTTACAACAGCAAAAGAGCAACAAATTATTTTTGTGCATTCCAAGTATTTCAAATATATATAATGCAAATTTAAACATTTTGAATATTATGTAAAAAAAAAGAAAGTCAAGAAAATAATGACGATTCGAAGAATAATGACGATTCGAAGATTTGCTTTTTAGTTCAACTTTAAGCGCGATTAGATTTAAACAAATTTAAAATATATATCGAACACAAAACGAGTAACATATTGTGCATATTTATGCAAATAAAAGGTTATTAAATTAATTACATAAATTTACATAAATCAATGTTTAATTTACAACTCTCATTGCTGTAGCTTGAAACTTACTCGGTACTCGATACTTTTAGCTGGGAACAGTTGCCAGCTTTGGCGCCCAAAACAGATTTGAATTCAGAGCATGCGCTGTGAAATGTTCCCAGCTTGCAACAGGTGTTGGAACTACCCGAATGCATTATTTATGAGGTAGGCCAGGGTAAAATAATAAACTTTTTTGAAAAGTTTGCGATAGCTTCATGTAAGTTAACAACTTGTACATTTACCATTATAAGGGGGTAATTATTCAAGTCCGGCCAATTGCAATTATTGGCCATTTCATGCTTGCTTCTTAAACAAGGCAAAGATATGCCTTGCCAGAACAGTTAATTGGACAGGCAGAGATTATGAGTCAGGCAGACTTCATTTCAATTTACTGACTAAACTAGGCACAGTTGCGGGCCAAGTTTCTTGGCCTGAAGTGAAGTCAGCGAAAGACGGCAAACTTAAACACTTAAGGCCACAAAATGTGGGCGGACTTGAGCGTATGTATGGGCACATGACGTGAAAATTGAAAATACTTATTTTTCATGTGCTTTTCAAAGAAAAGCTCTGCTGACAGTTGGTGTAATCTGTTCCAAAGATACTTATTTTTTTATTGTATATTTTTTTTTTGTATAATGATCATTTTTTCACACTCTTATGCCCCGCACAAGAGCAACAGGCAACAAAAGATGAACACTGCTGGGGCAAAATAAATCAAAAAGTGATTAGGCCAGGCTGTTATCTTACTTTCAGCTCCATCTACAATTTTCCTCTTTCATCTGTTTTTCCGCTGTCCAGCTGTAAATTGTCTGTTGAGTGGCTGTGGCTACGAGAAAAGCGCAAGGTGTGCACAAAAGATGAGAATGTGCAAAGGAAATTCAAAGTTGGCCATAAAACTTTGGCCATGGCTTCTTTGGTCTGCCGTGTTGATAAATGAGCTACGTAAAAGGCGGCGAGGGCAATCAAGAAAATCGCGGAAAATTATAGTTGCCAACCCGTAAAGCAAAGCCAACAAAAAAAAAAAACAGAAAACAGAAAACAATGAAAGAAAAGCAAAACAAAAGGCGTCAGCACTTACCACACAATTGTAAAGTTTTCTCTTCCATCTTTTCCGTCCTGAATTATGGCGCTTTTTTTACTTCCATCTTCCAATATGTATATATACTATATGGTAGTATGTACGTAGATAATTTGCTTCATAAAAAATGGCAGCTAACTGCAACTATTTAATGAGTTTGAATCGAGGTTATGAAAAGACTGAAAAGTTTTCAAGAACAGCGGTAAAAAAACTCTTTGCAGGCTTTTGAGAATAGCAGGGTTTTAAAATGCGATTATGAATTAGGAGTAACAAATGTATTAAGAGTTCTTCACTTCAATTCAAGTTTGAAAATGTACATGGAAAGTAATTCACTATGAACTATTGCAATATTTATTTTGTGCCATTGAATATTTGTCCTATTCGAACAAATCCTCAAATATTAGTCTTTTAAAAGAGAACATTTACCCGACGAGTGGATATTGTAGCTCGTGGGAAATAATTTATTCACGTTGATGCTTTTGAGTAAGTGAAGTACTTTCACGCCATTGGTCGATGTGCTTTTGATCCCGTTATTTTAGTTTTGGAACAAGTCGCACAACCAAGAGAGAGTAAAAAGCGCAAGCATTGCATATGTTGCGCTCTTAATTGTAATTGTAATGGTGCTGACCTACAGTTTAGTCAGTGCACGTTTGTTCCGTTGATCGGTCGTGTCTTCTGTGCGTGTCTCTGTGCAAAATCGGTGTATAACAAAGTTAATAAATTACATGAAGTTAAATGTGTTTAGTTTGTGCTGTGTGTGTTGGCTAACTGCATTATTGTATGTCAATCTATCGTCATTTCTTCGCCCTTAAATGTTCTCATGCGAATCAAACAATAGAGAAAATAGCAATGCAATTGTATACAAGAAAAAAGCTCGCATTTAACTGTGCATATTCCGATTAGGAGAAGAAGACAGTGACAGAGAGCGAGATAGTGCAGTTATTCTAATAAAAGCTTTAAAAAACATTTTTGTTCTCAGATTGATATTTATTTCCCTTTTTGTTCCCATTTGAGGGTATTTTAATTTTTTTATGAATTATGTAACGCAATAAGGTGGCATTTCTGCTCCGATTAAAGTACACATATAGCTTTGATTAGAACAACGAGCTGACTTCCGTCTGCTTGTTTTATTTACTTTTCTCTTTTTTTTCCATTTTTAGATTCTTACTTAATACGCCTCTGGCTTTATTTACGCAAATCCCTTAGTCTTAAACTTAATCGAATGCTTACAGTTAAAAATGCTTAGCAATCTAATTCCAATAGCAATAACAAAGGACATGACATTTTTTATCTAGAAATTGTATAAAGGAAAATGTGCTGAAATGATGTGAAATAAATCTGCAAACACCTCCGAAAGTGTCGGCGATAATATTAAGTTAATAAGGTGTGCAATTTACCTAGAAATTAATGTTATGCCTTAAAAAGATAATGCCTCAATTTTGGATACCATGTGCTCATGTCTTATGCAGAGCTACCAGCAGAAATATTAGCCATTGATGGAGCCTATTATAACCATGTTCATGTCTGTACAGGCCGGCAGCTGTGGACATTATTGCTGAGGCGGAATACTCTCCTGCAAGGAAAGGGGGTGAGTGAATATTCATATTAACATATAACATATTAACTATAAATCTATTATACAACAAGTAAGAGGCTCTAGTCGGGAGCTCCCGACTAGGGTATAACATGAACCTGCTTCTACCAAGATTAAATGCAGCTCGGGCTCGGGCTGTAATACAAAAAAATTTCCCTCGCACTGGGGAATCGAACCTGTGACATATTGCACCACTTTCAAACACAAACCACTTGCCTCTATCTTACAGACATAACCCAACAAATTAATTTTGATGAAAAAACTAATTAAAATAGCAGCCCATAACCACAATGCATACAGGAACTCTTGCAATCTCCGCTAGCTGCCGTTGACACGTGGGCTGCCAATATATATAAAACCACACGTTTTCTTTAAGAACTCTTGTGTTTCTTAACTGATTTTGATGAAATTTTCAACAGTAGATCTATGTTTCGCATATTCAACATGAAAATTGCATTAAAATTGTGGTTTCAATTGGTGGTTAGTTCCAATTGGCTTATTTAGTGGAAGGTAGCGCGGAGGTGGCGATAGCTATAAAATGAAAGAAACTTGATATGTACGCACTATTTAAGGAGCCACATGTAACTCCAGCTCCTTTAACTTACGAGGTTTGCTCAAAAAAAACATAATTTTAATATGGACTTTGGTCGATGACTTGGAAAATGAGCAAGTTATCGATAATCGAAAACAAACTCGTACTGCGCGGATACTAAGAGGACAGACGTTCCAAATTTAAGTCTCTAGCTCTTATAGGTTCTGAGATCCTTGCGTTCATACATACGGACAGACGGACAGTTGGAAACAGTTGGACAGTTGGACAGTCCACAAATACTTTGTACCCCTTATACCCATTTTTATTGGGTTCGTCTTACCACTGAGTACATGCAGCTGTATGGAAACTGCATCACTATTTTCCGGCTCGCATGTGTAGTTCCCGGAATGGGTCTTACGCACAACGGGTATGACCAGACTGCCAATCTGTGTGGGTGAGGATTGGAGATTTAGATTGATGCACTGAACGAATATTTGTGCTCTCGTACCGTGTTGCGACTGTGCTCCGTGCTGCCAAAGATGTTCCGATCGATTTGAGTGTACCAGCCATTCTCAATGCCGCTCGCCTCGTTCTCCGCGACGACCTGTTGTTTTTCACGATACCAGACTATATATTTCGGTGCCTCCAGAGTGCCGCGCACTATGCAATGCAGCTCCACTCTGCTGCCGGCCTTGACAAAGCGCTGCTTATCGCCAATTAGCTCCGTTTTGGGTGCTATTGAAGAGATGTTAAAGACAATTAAGAATTGAATATCCCTCAATATGTCTATGATATAGGAATTCAGCTGCAAGTGTATACTTAGTGAATTGTCCTGCTCGGGTTCGTAGAGCTATAATATCAGGGTAAAAGTTGCATACGCAACGACTTACTTATGACGAATAGCTGCACTTTGGCGCTCATCTTTGGCTCTGTGGCCAGCTGGCATTCATACCAGCCGGTATCCTGCAGACTGACATATTTGATGAGCAGCGTCCAGCCGAGGCTGCTGCCGTTTGTGGCTTCCAATAGGCTGTTTGTGAAATTTGCCTGCGATGATTGGAGCAGCGCTGCGAAACGTGCATCATTGATGAAGGTTGTGTGATCAACGGCTATGATGTGCTCATCCCGTAGTCGAACCCAGGAGAGGGGCTTGTTTGAGTGCTGATGCAGCTGCAATGGACAAACAGTGGGTGGCTTTTTGAGTTGCTGCCATTCAATCATGATAATCAACTGGCACCCACATCGACTTACCTGACATGGCAGATAGGCATGTTGGCCCGCCTGTACTGTTACATTCCGGGATGGCAGACTGAGCTGTCGCCGTGGCAGCTGCTCCCGCTCACGTGCCAGTTGCTTCTCTCGCCGCAGCTGCTGCTCCTTTTGTTCACTGTCGTAGGCATGTAGACGCATATGTGGTTGGGGCTGGGATTGGGAGTGGAGCTGCTTATTAAGACCCGATTGCAGGGAGTTGGCATCGTTGTCCTGGCCCGCGGGGATTCGGCTGTGCGGCATTGTCGTTGTCAGTGTCTGGGGCAAATCAGCAGCAATGAAATCCGGAAACGGTGGCAAATACGTGGGTATCGAGAAGCCCTTTGTCAAAGTTGCCGTATCGAGTCGCTCGCTCCAAATGTCCGCAGCAGTTTGCTGTTCCGTTGTGCTCTGCTCAATGGCCAATTGATTGACGCCCACTCGGTCCAGCAATGTTGTAGCAGTCGTGAAAGCCGGATTGGTATCAGTTGCTCCGTTTGTTGCCGCAATTAGCGATGAGTTGTCGCCAATTGTGGACGCACTTGCTGCCAGTGCTGCGAAATAGGTCAAGAAAGAGGACATCAGTGGGTCTATGATCTAATCAAGCTCAGTAACTTTATTTGAATTATACAAGACTTAAGTAACACAATTTTCAATGAATACTTTATGCCAATAAGCTGCTGCCAGGACAGATTGAGCATAACTATGCTCGACCTGCAGATACCCAGCAATCGACTGTGAATGCAATTTAGCCAGACTTCAGACTTTGAAACTTTTTGTGGGCTTACCAAAAATCATAGCTATGTGTCTATAAAATGCCTAATTTAATCTTAAAGCCAAATACAGATGACCCGACCAAGTATATCGAATTTCGATGTGCTCTGCCTGTGGCATACATTTTCAATAAAATGGTTAAAGGCTAAACAAAGTTATTAATCTCAAATTTTACATGCTCTTTGAACAAATTAATTATTTCATTTGCCAAGAATGTTTCCTGTTCAGCGGTTGCCAAGTGTTTGGTAAGTTTAAACTTAAAATTAGTTTTTGCATGGTTAGACTCAAAACCAGGTCCTAATCCTGGACAAAGCCTACACAGAAGCAATTGAAGAAATTGTAATTGAATAAAAGTTGTGCATACGATTTTCAAGCAACAAATTATTATTATTAAATGTATTTTGTTATTGCGATGCATTTAATCCTTATTTCAATTATGTTTAAATTGGTTTATTAGGCCCTTTGATTTGTCTTCAAATAACCAAACGCTCACGTCAGATAGAAATGAAATATATTGACAATTTTTAAATTAAATCTTAAATACCATAGTTGGACCATTATTTTATTGTCAAAAGTATTTTTAACGTTCATCAGAGAAATTTGAAATATCGCAAAGCGCCAATAAAACTTTGAGCCGCTTTCGCTACTGTTAAGCATCCTTGTTGCCACGAAAAGAGGATTACGTTAGGTTGAGGCAGCTTTCCCGGACCCGAGAGCATGGACTTTGATGCCCTGCGGCTGCGTTTGTTTGCGTGGTCGGAGAAACTGACGGATGCGGTCAGCAACCGCAGTCGCCGCCTGCTGCCGCTTGTGGCACGTCTCTGTCTGACTGCCACCTTCTTGGAGGATGCGCTGCGAACGTGGCAGCAGTTTTTCGAACAGCTGGTGTACCTGCAGATAGAACTGAACTGCTCGGAGATGCTTTCCATTTTAATTGTGGTCGTTAATCTGTTCGGCCAGCTGCTGGGCTCGCTGCTGATTCTGTTACGTGTGTGGGTCAATGTGGCCGTCACGCTGCTCGCCAGTCTGGTGCTGCTGCAGCTCCATATGCATATGGAGCCCTGGCAGCTGCATTTGCTCTTGCGTAACTTTGCCTTGCTCGGCGGCCTCCTGCTGCTGCACGTTGATGCCCAGGAGACGGCGGCAGCGTGCCGCAATTGTGCTGGAGCCGGGGCAGGCGTGCCCCTGCTGATCAATCGTCGTCCGCAGCACTTAATGCGACTTGCTGGACGCATACTTTTAGCCTGCATGTATCTTACGCTGCTGCGACTGGGGCAGGGACTCGAAGCATTGGCCTTCAATGGACTGGGCCTGCTGCTGATGACGCTGATTGTGCTCGGCTATCGGACCAGGTTGGCTGCCCTGACCTTGGCACTGGTTCTGATCCTTTGGAATCTGTACTGGCATGCCTGGTGGCTGGTGCACGACCCCAGCAGGGATGTGCTCAAGTACTATTATTTTCATACGCTCTCTGTTGTGGGTGGTCTGCTGCTGCTTGTGGTGCTGGGACCAGGTCATGTTTCACTGGAACAGTACAAGAAGCACTGGTAGCAATGTCTCTTCCCTCTCTTCCCTATTTTTTCACGACTTTCTTATGATTTCGCAACCGTTCCTATTCCGGCTTGCTCTTTAAATTAATAAATTGATCTACTGTGGAGGCACATTATACACCCTCCGTCCCCCTGGTTGAATTGATGTGCCTCATCTTTATCATCATCAAATCAAGTTTGTAGCTCGAGGCCATGTCTCAATGGCATATTAAAATCCCGCAGATGGCCCACCGACAAAAATAAGAAACGTCCACGCCCCCTGCATTCCGAAACCCGCCCGCGCAGGCAGGCGATCACGCCCATTCGCGTTTTGTGTGCTTGTTGTACGCCTACTTTCTGGCACGAACTGAATTTAATCCCATTTCCATTTCCCCCCATATTCCGCTCAGAATCGTTTTGTATTTCAGCAGCTTTCGCCTGCTTTTCGCCTCGAGCATCAAATTTACGCGCAGCATAACAAATTATAGCTAAGTATTTATTATGTAAATAATGTAATACCAAATGAAAACACACACACACAAACACACACACACAAACACACACACACAAACACACACACACATACACACACACGCATACATACACACCAAATGTGCGCACAAGTTAACAATTTTATGGAAATGCTTTTGTGGAGCGAAAAAAAGGGCATTTGCTAAAATAGTTTAGCCCACTTTGAGGCAGCTGCTGCCCCCGGCTGTTGGCCAACTAAGTGGCCAAGTTTATTGTTTTTAAATTGTTGAAAAAAAAAGTAGCTTTAAACGCAACATCTAATACTCAAAAGTTGCTGTTGTCAGCTATTCGATGGAATCATGTGAAAGCTGGCGATAAATTTAAACAAAATTTGCAACTTTTATTGTAGTCGCATTTGTTTTGTGGCCAAGTTGCAACTTTATATTGTCATTGTTGCCCGCACATATCGTTGCAATTAAAAACTATTTGCCGGCAAAAGTTTATAAAAATAATACGAAATAAATTACAGCAACAATAACAAGAACAATCACTGCACAACTAAAGCTTCAACAGCATTTGCTGTGGTAATTAGTTGAACAGTTGTGTAAACCACATAAACTGATTTCGGGTTTTCCGGCTTTTCACTTTTATTACCTTTTTTTTTTGAGCGTGCTGCCCTTTTCATTAGTGAAACATAAATGTTTGTAGTTCTCATTGCCGGCTGGAAAGCCCAAAAAAACCAGGCTGATAGTTTTTAACTGAACTTAATGAATAATAGTCACAATTATTGTATGTATGCTTGTGCTTAGTTTAAAGAGCTGCTGGTATAGAAATTGCCTAATGTGACGTCAGCGATGTAATTTAAAAATTACTTCACATTCATTGAGCAAATGATTAGTTGAGCCTTTTTCGGGCTGGGCAAGAGGCGCCTGTTTACGGCACTTTTCCAGGGATAAAAACAACAGCAAACTGTTTAGCAATAATTCAGCTTGTTTGTAATTGGGAAGCGCTTCTGAGAGCGAGCAGCACAGCTTCTGTCTGTTGTGTTATCAGCTGGCGCCTCGAATTACGCAAAGAGCGGAACGCAGGACGTAGCCAAAAATGAAAATATATGGCCTGCTTTAATATGAAATGATATATCGGATTGCTATATTGTTCGGAATGAACGGCATAAAAAAAACTTATAAGTTTGCCCAGCAAATGTTTGCTTTTATTTAAGTAAAGGAACCTGTTTGTTTGGCCAGTTGGCGTCATCTGTTAGTCGCTTGGCCAATTGTGTCCCAGAGTTAAGGCCTAATTACGCCTTCAACATGCCCAATTCTGGCCAGGCTTATATTCCATGCGCACTTGCCCTTTCATTTTGCTTGCGTTAATTCTTTTGTTATTAATTACACGTGACACAAACATTTATTGTTGTTCCCGTGTGTGCCTTAGTTAAAGTGTAGATGCAAAATATTCAAGTATTCAAGTATTAATAATATTCTTAAATGTAATTTAAACCAATTTTCATTAGGCTGCATTAAAAAAGATTGGGATTAGAGTTTTAAGAACTGTCTCTAGAATAATCAGATTTTTCCTATTTCCTTTTAAACATGCATAATATATATCTGTGCTGTTAATTCAATGCATTATTTTTTCAATTAATATTTTATGGTCTGTCAAATTTGAGCTTGTTTGCGCAGCCAGACAGTTGTCCCTGTCAGGGATGTGTGCTCGCTCCTCCCATTTTTTTATGACGACCTTTTCACGGTCGTTTGACTTGATGTTACTTTAATTTCAATGCACGCATATTCACACCCAATAGCGGCAGCAGCTGTTGCGAAAAAATTAAAGGGCATCTGGCCTGGCAACGCAACCGCATGACGTGGCCACAAACACCGCGTCTCTGTGCCTCGGCCGTCAAGCTATGCGCCCAGAAGGCAACCACACATTTATTTATTTGGCTTTAGTCAAATGGAGCTGCAGACAGGGCCCTGAGACGTAGTTACAGTTGGCATACGCATATTTTAGCACATTAATTGGAAGGCATAACTCGTCATTTATTTGGTCGTAACACACAACAAATGTTGGCCAGCTCACGCACTTGCCAACTTGAGCACACACAACTAGATTCATGCATAATCGAACAGTTCAAACACAACCGTACACTCAGAGAAACTCAAGAAGTCAATATGCTTAAAGCCAGAATCCGGTTGTGTTGGGCACCAGACCCACATCCGGCGGCGGTTTGGCTTCTAAACCAAAACAGCGTACACGCATTGTGAACTGAAGCAGAAAAAAACAACAGAAAAATATATAGAGAAAAGTATGAAATCATAAGTTTCCCCTGACCAGCGCGCCGCCCTCCCAGTTCCCGACCTACATCAACAGTTTTACACATTTTATCAACAGCCGCACGTTTCTATTGCTGTTGCCCTGCCAAGTGGGGCAGTGTGACTGGGTCGCCGTGTTTGCTGCATATTCCATCAAACCAACATGACCCTCTAACGCATTCCATTTGTGTGCACAATTGTGGTCTTGTGGCAATCCAAGTCAGTCTCTCTACAATATGGTATATAAATTGGGATAGAACAAGTGAAATATATTATTTCACTTTTTCTTCTGCAGCTAACAATTTAAAAACACCTATTAATATATATTCCTCATTTTATTAAATTGCTTAATTAAAAATTGCAAAGAGCCAAAGCTCAAGCTCTGAGTCCTGAGTGGAAAACTATACGAAGAAAAAAAACGCAACGCAAAATTAAATAATTTAACTTAAAAGTTATTCGTATTTACAGTAACATGCCAACAAATTTAAATTAAATACTATGCATTTACATTAAACTATGGTATTTTTATTTAAATATTATAAAAAATAAAAAAAAAGTAAAATGTAATATGAACTGTATTTATATTTAATATTTTTCCACTTTAATAGAATTAAATATGACAATTATTAATTGAAATATGTGCATATTAAAAAGACATTTGAGAAATGCACCATTGAGGTTTAATAAAACACCTCTTGCCTGACAACCATAGGGGGAAAAAAAACATTAAGAGAGTTTCTTTTCTTGAGTTTAAGCAGCGACTTTATTATCATGCCTATCTAACATGTATGTCTATGCTTGGCAGGGTATTAATTGTCCTGCACATTCGCAGCACTTTTTATTGTGTTCGTGTTGTTTTAGCAAATGACGGGGCGGCGCTCACATCGTCGTTTACTTTGATTTCTTTGGCATTTCAGTTTGTTTTTTAGTAATTACACCAGCCGAGCGTAGAGTGGGCGTGGCGCCCATTAAACTCTTGAATGAAAAAATAAGAAAAAAGAAATCGAGCTGTCGACTTATTTTGATTGTTTTAAAGCGACGCCAAAATGTTGCCTACTTTTCAGCGCGGGTTAAGCGACTAACAATTGGCCGCCTGCTGAGTTTGCATTGTTATTATTGCAACAGTTGTTGTTGTTTTTTTTTTATGGTTGTTTTGTTGTTTCTAATTTGCACAGAGGAATAAACAAATACTCGCATGAAAAGCACATACGCATGTATGTGTATGTCGGGCTCAAACTGACGCGGGGTTGATTGTTTTTCCTGCTGATGATGACACAGCATGGGGCGACTCTTTACCCTTTTTAGGCATGCGATTCCCCTCCATTGTTTTTTTTTTTTTTGTTTTTAGCATATTCCCGAGGAATGGCGATCGCTGAGCATGCACAAATAAACATGCGCAATATCTACTCGGACTTTACTTAACTCGGACTGTACGCGGACTTGTATAAAACATTTTTAAAATTTGTAAAGCAGCCGAGTGTCCAGTTTGCTTTGGAAATTAAATTTAGTATTTGTGTATTGCACACACACACACAGCAAAACACACAAACACACACACACACACAGACATTTTGCAGTACGGAATGATATATAGCTTCCATCTCAGGAAATGAGAATTTACAAGCTCTGCACGAATTCGGCTAATGGCTGTATTAGCGACATCAACTCTTTGGCTTCACTTAGCGCAGTTATTTAATTAAAGCCATGGCCCCGGACAGCCACGCCCCGCGTGCCTGCGATGCGTCCATAAATAAATTAAATGTGACATTTGACCGCCATTTGTCCTGGACGCCAGTTTCTTGGCAAAATACTTGTATCTAATGTGTGAGTCCGCATAAAATATAGTTGGTAGTTTGTTCTAGCTGTTGTTGATGTAATTAACCGAGCAACCCAGAGTTGGGGACGGGCCATCATCCCCTAAGTCTGACTTCTATTCTGTTTCTTGCTCTGAATCTGACCTTGGCAGTTGCGCTGATTGATGGCCTAAGTGTTATTTGAGTGTCTATTTAGATTTTTATTTAGCTGCTCTTGGCTTTTATTTCTGCCTGTTTGTTTTTGCCACATTTGGACTATCTTTTTCCCACTTGGTCTCTATTAAATCATATAAGCAGCAGATTGGATGGGCACGTGTGTTATTAATGATATTGCCTTGGCCTTGAAGAAAGCTCAACTTAGATTGATTAGTCTGCGTAAAGCTCAGGCCAAATAAAGAAGGATTAATAGATGGTTGTGATTATGATTATTTCACATAATCAATTCTTATATGTAACAATTTTGATTGAAGTTGCCAATTTTCTAAATGTTTAAAGACTTTTATTATGTTACCAAATGCTTATTATTCAAATGTAGCTCATCGAGCGAGACAATTTAATTTTCTTTAATCAAGTGTCCACTGTCAGAAATGTATTTGGCATACATTAAATACTGAGAGGAGCAATGCAACTATCACAAAACAACAAAATAACATATTCTGTGATATTTTTCGAAAAACATGTTTTGACAAACAAACAAAGGAATAACTGCTGCGAGCTAGATGAAAGCAGTATGCAGTTCATTGTGTTCTATCAGGAGTTGGTTTTAATGAATTGTAATTCGAGCACGTAACACACAGCACTCGAAATCACGTCACGCATACGACCTGTTGAACAGACGAAAACTTAATCAACTACGCAGCTAGGCTGCAGATGCTGCCAGTTGTCCGGGCCATCTTTCAATTAGACCAGCTCTGGTGTACACTGGAACAGGAAATGCCAGTCATTTTCATAAAGCACACTCAACAAAAAAAAAAAAAAAAAACAAGAAACTTGCATAGTATTTGCCCAGTCAACAGTGCGTATGCGTAATGAATTTTGTTTCGACTACGGAATATATTCCTGTGACAGGTGTGTAGGAAATATCAAGCTGTACATGAGCGTGTTTACGTGTGCGTGTGTGTGTCTGCTTGGATAAATGAAAATTTGCTTAGCTCGATTAAATGAACTCGACAAGCTTATAAAAATCGTGCCAACGAGTTGCCAACAACAACAACAACAATAACTGAAACAACGATGCAGCCAGGCAAATCTCATCATGCAAATTAAATTTGGCAAACACTTCCGACACTTGCACAAAAATGTGCGAATTGAATTAAATATGCATGCAAGAAAACAGACAAAACGGGAAAAGAGAGCACGTAGCCCAAAAAGTTTGCACCATGTATAGGGATGTGCCATATACATATTTACAAGCATAGAATATGTGTACTTAGCATGCTTATTTTTATGCATGTGTGTGTGTGCGTGTGTGTGTGTGCTCGTTCCTTGAAGTACTTTCTCCAGCACCCGCTATGAAAATGAAAGTCATCCATTTTTACAATTATCTTTTTTAAGATTTAAGTTAACATTTTTGATGCTGATTATTATCCAGTTTGGCTTGGTCGAGGGTTTCAATTAAAATTTGGACTGTTCAATCAATCATTCAATCAGTCATTCAATAAAAAGTTGCATAAATTAACCGCCATCTGATCTTGTCTATAAACTGTGTGTGAATCAATCCATCAGTCAATCAATCAGTCAGGAGCCTATGTGCGCACTCAATCAGTCTTTCAATAAAAACAGTTGCATAAATTCGGCGCCATCTGATCGAGTCTGTGAGCCGTGTGTTAATCAGTCAATCAATCAATCAGTTGCCTATGTACTTTGTGTTGCTGATCAACACACAGCAATCAGTCAGTCAATCAATCAGACAATTAGTCAGTTTCTGATCTTGTCTATAAGCTGTGTTTTGATCAGTCAGTCAAGCAATCAGTTGCCTATGTGTTAAGTGTTGCTGATCAGTCAATCAGTTGTTGCAATCAGTCAGTCAATCAATGAGTAGTCAAAAGAAATAGCTTCAAATTGCTATTAACAAAGCTGTGTGGATATGTCAATCAGCAAATCAGTCAGTCAGGATCAGCAATCAGTGATTCGCTTTGCCGTTGATTATGTTTCCGGGAACAGCCCGTTTCTTTTCACTATAAAGTAAAAGCTGTTTGTACTTACGGGTGCGCATGCCACGAAAGCTGACAGCTGCCAGAAATGCCAGCAGTACGCTGCCAGCTCCCTTGACTCCAGATCCAGCAGCAAATCCGCTGCCCCTCCTGGCAACAACTTTTGCGCCAGGCTTTGCTCCTCCTCCTGCTGCTGTGGCTCCTTCAGCTGCTCGTCGACAGCGCATTTTATTGCGTGCGAGGATTGGTGGCTGCTTCGTGTCACACCTTGGATATGTGTATTTGTATTCGCTTTTGCTGTTGTTGTTATTAAGTTGTTTTTTTTTTTTTTTTTTGTGCTGTTCGCTTGTTTTTGTTTTTAATCCGAGTTTCATCAGCTCAAGTAGCTTGTCATGGCCCACGGCATAGAACACACATGCATATTTGTTATTTGACTTGTTTGTGCTTCTGGCTCTGCTATTTAATTATATTTTGAATGCTTTCCCAGAGTTGTGTTGCCTGCATTTGCATATAACTCGTCACAGCCTCCGTACGTGACTCTGGCTCACATGTTTCTGGCCAGGCTCAGGCAGCCGCAGGCCCAAAATCTAACCCCAACTCATTTCGCATTTTATTTGGCAAAGGCAACCGCAAAAAAAAAAAAAAAAAAAAAACAAGAAGAGTGCATACGAGAATGAAAAACGTTTTTGTAGAAAACCACAGAAGCCACCTTTGGGCGGCTACTCAGCTGGGGAGTTTCTAACCATTCACATCAAGGTTACGGGATGAATGCATATTTATCTTGGCTGCAGCCGAGTGCCAGGCAACTGGCTGGAAATCGCATTGCCCGGCTCGGGGGCAGTCGAATCTGGAGCTGCCCTGATTGTAAGTCAATAAATTAATGAATTGCGCCCGGCAACGGCCCAGTCACATCTATTGTTAGCCAGATTGTAGATACCCGAATGCAAATACCAAATGCAGCTGGCCTCTTGAATGTTGCCGCTGCTAAATATATATGTAAATCATTGCATTATCTTGCCAGGTTAATAGAGAGTCTAACTCCCTGGAGAGCAGCTTCTGCCACAGCCAATTTAAACTTTCAGAATTCATCTTGTGGCAAGTAACAGCAACAATAACAACACAATGCGAAGCCACAAAAAATGACACATGAAACTATGGCAAAAGCTGGCAAGTTAGCACTCACATACTTTTGACCTCAATTGTATGACATAGGTAAAAATAAATACAGCAAATTATACAGACTTTCCTTGGGCCACATAACCTAGACTACATTTTTTTTAAAAGAAAGACACTTTAAAGAAGTTAGAAGTAAAATTTAATCGTGGCCTATAGAAACCTTAGCACAGGTGTGTGGGTTTTTCTACATGCTACTACATGCTTCTACTAAGACCTTCTTAATATTTAATTCGTATCTTATTTTATTTTTTATTTAATTTTTATAAAATCCTTAGCCACGGACGTTAACCAGTTGCGGATGTTTTTTTTTTTACTTTTTTTTAAATAAGTTAAACACCTTTTAAAATTCTGACAGTGAATCATCCGTCAATCCATCAATTAGTCACTCATTAAAACCAATTGATATAGGTCTTCAATAATAATTAACTTATTTGCTTTTAGTAATTTATAAGAAATTAATTGAACAGCTTTTCACATCATTTTCTCTGTGAAAATTGCTCTTCAGCCTGTTTCCACGTTTAATTGATTTGGTCGTCAGTTTTCTGTTTGTCCGCTTTTCGTTTCGTTTTGTTTTCATTATGCTTTCTCAACGGCTTTCCTTTGTCAGCTCAAAGATGCCCTAATGAGTTTAAAATCTACCTTCTTTTCCACAGGGGAGTCTAGACGTGCTTAGCAAAGAGTCGACTCGGATTATATTTCAATATATTACATCATATGATATGCTGCACAATCGAGGAGCACGTGTGTGAATGGCGCCTAGGCCTGGAGGCTGCTGCAAATGATTTGCCACATTCTTCACAGCATTCACAAGTCTCACATGATTCGCTTTACGTTTTTTTTCCTTTTTTGTTTTTATTATTTTTGTATTTTACGAAAAGTCAACGACGCAATCAGCCTTTGGCGCGGCGTTTGACGTCTTTGACTTTAGATCTTTTGCTGTTGGTGTTGTGTTGTTGTTGTTGTGTTGTTGTTGTTGTTGTTGGCTGTATCCGTTGCGCAGCAATTCGAAATGTGATTTTTGTTGATTTATAAAGGACACATTGCGATTCACAGACACATTCGGATTTGGATTTTGATTTGTATTCACACGCACACACAAAAGACACTGGCGCGACTGTTGCCCCCGCTGAGCACTCACATTGAGATTCACATTCACATTCGTATTCGTATTCACATTCGTATTCATTTATTGCTGCTGCTGTAGCTGCGGCACGCCCAACGCCCACTATCTGACATTTTGGTGTTAACAAAAGCAACAACAACAAGAATGTTCGTTTTATTTTAAACTTCGCGCTCGCCTTTCGAATGTATCAGCCTCTCAACAGCTTTTGGTCGCTTTGGTAATTTTGCAGTCCGCCCGCTCGCACATCCGCCGCCGAGCCATGCAAATCCCCAACTAAACAGCCACAGCAAAAAAGGAGTCACGCGTGTAGCGTGCCAATGCCAGACTTTTGCCAATTTAAAGTTTCATCTGATTTCTGACGTTTCTCGTTTCTCGTTTCTCGTGGTTATCGTTGTCGTTGTCGTTGTCGTTGTCGTCATCGTGCGTGCTGTTGCTCCCCCTGAATGATGTTCCGCTTCTCACATGTTTCGCATTTCATTTGCTTATCATGCCGCTGTTCGGCTTGCTTGATTCGCAACACATACCCCTCATTTTATGCCGTTGTTTCGCTTCGTTCCGCTTCATTTCATTTCGTTGCGCCTGGCTTTCAGGGGCAGAGCGCAACAGAAATGGGATGCTGTGGGCTGCTGTTAAATGTAGCGCATGACTGTTCCTAGCAGTCTGTTAAATTTCTCATGTTAACCGTTTCACGGAAACAGACCGTTAAAACCAGTATTTGTTGCGGGCTTGTTAATGTCATATTTTAACTTTGCCTTTAATATCCTAGAAAGTATTTAATTTTTTTATGAAAACTGACTACATTCGTTAAACATAAACAATAAACGTTGCATAGATTCGTATTTTTATCGTTCAAAGTGGTATTTGTACAAAAAACCTGTTTGTTTAAAAGAAATCATAATTTAGGAGATTTACCATGTTTCTAGGACTACTATTTCATTTAACTCCCATTTTAATAATCAACCAGAAAATGAGTTTCACTTTTTGTCGAGTTGTACATCCTTGGCACTCGTAGCATTGCTCGTTGCGAATTAATTAAAGAGCCCGTCACTTGCTCATATTACAATGTTTTCGACTTGAACAAATTAATTTTCCATCCTGTAGGACTCAATTAACATGATGTCTTTTGAGCTACTAACAGCTCTGTAATGTTTATTCTCGCTGCAGTTGCAGCCCCTCGCTACTTTCCCAGCTCTTTTACATATTAAATGTGCATTTATTTCCGCAATTCGGTAAATTCAATTGTGTTTGCAAATCCAACTTACATTTCATACATTTGTATGTCAGCCATATTGCATAACAGCTATAAGACGACGTGTGTGTGTGTGTTTGGTGTATGTGTGTGTATTTTTCTGCTACTGTTTGGAGTTGTTACGGGAGGGGGGGGGGCGAGGTGGTAAGATATAAGTAACGCACGAATAATTGAGTGCGCATCGTACAAAGGATTCTCGCGTTGACGGCCAGCTGCATCAGGAACGGATGGAGGAGGCGGCTCCACCTTCAACTTTGTTGGCCAAAAAAGGAAAAGTCTGAACAGCATGTTTTATTGACAAAGACACGTGGCAAAAAGCATAACAACAACTGGAGTTAAAGAGAAATTGAAATGGCCGCGGCAGCGAATATTATATTCCCTTTAAAACGCGCTCAAGATTCGTTTAATCGTTCGCCGAACCTTGAACTGGGTAATCTAATCTCTGCGACTGTAATTTTTATATGCTCATCAATGCGAATAATGAAGTCGCTCTGGCCGTTGCTCTTTCTACAGCAGGGTATACATGCTTACAATGACTCGATTGCTGCTTAAGACTCAAGTACAAGTCGTTAAAAAATAAAGCCCTCAAAAGAGGTAGCTGCAAATTGAAAAGAGCAACTGCAAGATGCTACTCAACCCCCACTTCAGGCCCGCGTCTGAGCCAAGAAATCTCCTTCTCCAGCTCAGTCTCCTTGACAGTCTCAGTTTCAGTCTGATTGCGCGACTTTTCTTGCGACATCATTAAAAAGTGTTTAAATACCGCTCGTCGCACACTGCGTATACGTAATATTATATCTACTTTCAAGATGCATTTGCATAGCCCATCTTCACTTCTGTCCAATTGGCACAACTTTTATTGGAGTCGGAATTTTTTATGGAAATTTAATTAAGCAGACATTTTTCTCATTCATACATATGCATGTCTCTACAATTCACTTGCAGTTCAAATGCTTTCCCTACGATTGTTTGGCCAAAATAGTAGCCGAACACTTGGTCAACTATTTGGGCCAATGCCACAGTTGATAAAGAAAGGAAAGGCAGGCTGAACGATTGCAAAATAAATATGCCCAAATGTGCATGGCAGCCGCAAACAAAGAAGACGAGCAACATTTAAATATTGCACAAAATATATGATATTTACCACAAGTTCTTTTCTACAATCGCCTCCAGCTTCGAGTGCAGCATATGTTTGAGGATTTTAAAAATGTACAGCAATGCAAACAGGGGAAGAACACGAAATTAAAATTATAGTTTAGTATTTGCTGAGACATGCCTATGTCTCCTTGTTGTCTTATATTTACATATAAAACAAATATTATAGAGCAACAGTTGCTGTAATATGCCCTTCGCGTTGCATTTATTTTGAAGTTTACCAAACTGAAAGCAGACAACATTCAAGTGTCAGCAATGTTTTTCAAAGTTGGGCAGTTGATAAAAACTATGTTCGGGGCAGCAATAGCTCTGATTGAATCCTTGAGTTTTGACCTGCTTACACATATGTATTCGTATATATGTTAGACTATATATATATATACACCCAATGCGATGTTTGCTTAAATTCCTTGCATTTCAAATTTTTGGCGCTCGAAAAGCAACTTGAAATTCCGCGACGCTCGCTGAGTTGCTAAACAAATACCATTGACTGGTAAAATGAGTACAGACAATCGCACAGGTTTCAAACGGGCCCACTAGAACTGAATAAGTGGGTTCGAGCTGGGTGGTTACAATGGGGTGGAGAGACTGAGGCCGATAGGGTTCGAGCTCTTTGGCTAGAAAGGAGGGAGAGACTGAAGCCAACAGCGTTCGAGCTGGTTGGTTCAAATGGATGGGAAGGGTTCGATTAGGTGTGCCATAAATTGAATTGTGTGTACATTTTGTTGCTGTTGTTCTGTTTAGTTTTGTGGGCAGCCACAAACTTATTAAAGGTGCTGCAGATTTCAATTTGAAATTTAAAACAGCTTTTCGGCCGTTTGCCAATCAAATGCTGAACTTGCGGAAATTGTGGCAGGCTTTTGTTGTTGCTGATTTGAGCTGCTGATTGGGTTGCTTTGTGTGCCACTGAAAGCC